AAGGTCCTGGGATCGAGCCCCGCATCGGGCTCCCTGCTCCGTGGGAAGCCTGCTTCTCCCTCTCCCACTCCCCCTGCTTGTGTTCCCTCTCACGCTGTGTCTCTCTCTGTCAAATAAATAAAATCTTTAAAAAAATAAAAAATAAATAAAATAAAATCTTTTTTTAAAAAATCCATTTTATTTCTCCACGAATTGCTTTGAAGTTCATGAAATATATGCATCATATGCTCCATATATGCACATATACGTACACACATATGCACATGAGAATACACAAAGAAATGGGTTGAACATGTGAATGTCATCCTTCAGAGATTTTTGGTGGAGACAGAACATGAGAAGCATCTGTCCCCAGTGAGCCCACCAGCAAGTATGTCCAAAGAAGTCTAGCCACAAAAGATACAAATACAGGGTGAGTGCCAGGAATACACTCACTCGCAAGGTCTCTAGGAGACAGGCAACAAGCCATAGGTATTCTTAAAGAGCTCACAGACTAAGTCCCTGAATTCATCAAGATATTAATGGCCTTTTGATTACCTGCCTCTGGTTAACTGACTTAAAAACCAAAGAGAAAATCTTCGGTGTCCCAGGCATAAGGTAGATGAGCTCCCCAAGAAGGACTGAGGTCAGATCGATAATGTAGGACCCCCTGGGCAAGGTTCCATCAGCCTCAGGGAGAAACTGGAGGCCACCGGATACTTCTATACTTAGAGGGCAAAGCTGAGACATGGCCTGGCTCAGCGAGTGCAGAGCATCCTTATTTTTAATAATTCAGCCTACTAAAAACAATTAATCCTAGGTAAGGTGATAAAGTAGAAATGACCATCATATTTTATAAAAATAAATCTGTCGTAGTTTGGGAGTATTGGGGTGGAGGGATGCAGGGAAAGGACAAAAACCAAAACAGAACCGAAAACCTATACCTGTTAAGTCACAGGAAGAAAGAATGGCAGAAGACACATCCATTAGGAAGAACTTGGTGTCAAAAGAGCAAAAAGTCAAAATGCTAATTTAACCCAAATGCGTAAGCATTGTATAAAGTAGGTGGCCTGCAGTATTGCTGGATATTGAGGAACATGTGTTGAAACCTGTGAGCAAGATGCAAACGAAACCTTATTTATTGCTCACTTCAAATAACCTAAACTCAGATGACTAAAAGGACTCTCAGATGGTTACTTAACCCTAGTTTCTGGGGCGCCTGGGTGGCTCAGTCGGTTAAGCATTTGCCTTGGGCTCAGGTCATGATCCCAGGGTGCTGGGATCGAGCCCCATGTTGGGTTCTCTGCTCAGCGGGAGCCTGCTTCTCCCTCTCCCTGCCACTCCCCCTGCTTGTACTCTCTCTGTGTCAAATAAATAAATAAAGTCTTAAAAAAAAAAAAAAAACCAAGCCTAGTTTCTGAATCCCAGCAAGACAGAACCCGAGTTACTCCATGCCAACAACTGTCCACTCATTTAAAGACCCATCGGCCAGGTGGGGCTTGATCCTGCATGAGCTGTGCAGGGACCTGACCCAGCGCCCGAGCACATGCCCACACAGAGGATGAGAAAACTGGGGTCTGAGAGAATTTACAGAAGGTTTCCAACAGGTCGTTGGGCGGGTGGGGGGCAGGGGGCTGGAGGTCGGTACTCTGGAGGACTGTCAAAACTCCTTGCCCCAGGAGGCAAAGCTCAGGGAAGAAAGTATGAAGAAGAAAAGGCAATCAGCCATTTTAACTTTGGCAGAGTTTTATCATCAATAATAAGGGAATTTCAACTGGGAGTTTACAGAATTTATCAAGACCGGTCTGTTCACCAATCTCCAGCCCTGAGGGCATTACGACATTATAGAGCAACCATCTCACTAATGCGGCCAGGGTTGCCAGGGCGGTTTTTTCATGGCGGGGAGGAGGACTGAGGGGCAAGCGAAGGTAACACGCAGTCACCACGCGGGTGGAGCCCAGACAAGGGGGCGGCTGAAAACACCCGCGGGTCGTTTCGAGACTACAAGACGATACTCCTCACCACCCCAATCACAAACCGTTCTTCTGGCCCAGAGAGGGCAGAGACGAAAATCAGGCCCTCCTTCTCCAGCAGATAAAGCAAAAAACTAACGCGAGCCCCCGAGCATCACCTGTCCCGGCCATCTGTGTTGTACCGACCACTCCACGGAGCCTCTTCTGTCACAACTCACTTCTCTAATAAAGGGAAAAATTACTCCAAAGTGATCACCTAGTTCGGGAGACCAAGAATAAGATGATGTGTCTTCAGTATCCTATTCTTAGCCATTTCAGTGTAGAGAACAGGCAGCTTCCACGAAAGAATTTTATGGAAAATATGCTCTCAGTTAAAAACAAAAACAAAAGCAACTTAGCAGGGTGTTCCCTCAACACTGGAAAATTCTATTCCTCAAGACCTGGCTTCAAGTTTCACAAAAAAACATCCCTAAGTACACCCCAGGCAGAACTCTTCCTTCTCTGAATAATGAGGGCTCTTATACTCCCAGCCAGGCAATTCTGCACCAAATTATATGCGATTCTGTACTGTTTGCTAAAATTATATATGGTCTTGCGCTGTCTGCTAATTGTTTCATGTGTACAAATGCCTTTTCTTCCCCAATAAAATGAATAAATTACTTAAGAAGAAGGCTCAATTTTCTTCTTCAATTGTCTGTTCCTCCTGAGCATCAACAGACGGCTAATGCACACGCCTGAGAAACCTCCCCTAGGGAAGGGGGACTTGGACAGAGGGCTGTGGGCTTTCTATGGGTGGGGGATACCACCCCATCCCTTCACCAGCACCCTGTGACTCTCACCCAGCCTACTGCCAGCTCAAAGTCCTGTACCCCTACCCACCACGAGTCCTCACTAGTCCTTGGCAGGCCCCGCTGCCTGGCACCCTCCCACCACTGCTCTCGAGAGGCAAAAGTAGCTCACACAAGACCATACAACTCGGCTGGTGCCCTCATTTAATCAGGCTGCTGCGAGTGGTTGGCCAAATGCAATAAGGGCATGACTGAGAGACTGTGGGAGTTTAATATAAAAAAATTAATAAAAAAAAAAGGGAAGGAGAAAGGGTCTACCTTTTAATAGGGCCCTAATTACCCAACTCATAGGATCAGCCCAAGTGAGATGGGAGTTTATTTCAGGTTTTTTTTTAATTATTGTTTTTTTTATATATATATAAATTGCTGCTATGTGTTTTCTTTCCTCTGAGCAATTATGTAGCAAGTACGTAAAGAGGGGAAAAAATATTAATTAAATATAAGGTAATTGTAGAGTTGGCCTGGAGAGAATGAGTCTGAACTCTGGACAATCACAGGCTACTAGGGTTTGAAGACTGCTCGGGGCCTCCCAGAAAAGAAAGAAATGAAAATACAACCAAACAACAAGCAGATGCAGAGTACAGCAGGAAAAGAGCAGCATCCAGAAACGTTAGCACAGCAAAGGGGCTGCCGGGCTCCAAATACCCAGAAATCAGCAAGGCTGCCGTTGCTTAGGGCTCGCTGCTAGAAAGAACCCCCAAGAGTTTACCCAATCATGCTGCAAAAAGAAGCACCAGTCAGCTCTGCCGGGGATCAGCAGTAAAGTCAGTAGATAAAAATGTAAAAGGAGGGCGCCTGGGTGGCTCAGATGGTTGGGCGTCTGCCTTCGGCTCAGGTCATGATCCCAGGGTCCTGGGATCGAGTCCCGCATCGGGCTCCCTGCTCCTTGGGAGCCTGCTTCTCCCTCTGCTTCTCTCTCTCTCTCTCTCCCCGTCTCTCATGAATAAATGAATAAATAAAATCTTTAAAAAAAAAAATGTAAAAGGAGACCGAGGAGGTAAAGGGCTGCAGAGGACTACAGCATTCAATTTGAACTTTAGTCCGAAACTAACCACAACTCCAGCCTGCAGGGCACTGACAGGCCCCAGGGGAACACTCCAGCTCCCTAGCTAAGGGCCTGGCAAAGCAAAGTCCTTCTGAAGCCTCTGGCTTTCCCACCACCCTGACCTCCAGGACAAACCCGGGCAATACCAAGAGTGAAACGAAGCCACTGTGGGGTGTGGTGGGAAGGGAGCTGGACTTGGTAACACTTGGTAACAGTGGGTGTCACAGAAGACAACCACACTTCCCTGAAACAGCCCCAGCAGGGCTTACGTCACCCTGGTCTTTCAGCCTCAGCCAAATCCAACTCACCTTCTGCCTTGGAAAGCCTGAGTACGGGCTAGAATTCAGGCCTGTTCACGCCAGCTAAGGACCTCACATCACCTCCTCCCACTACTACCGGAGGAGAAGCAAGAAAACCAAACCTGGGAAACCAAAACTGGGCGGTGCATCCCTGAGCTTGCTATCACCATCCAAACAAAGACAAAGCTCTAAAAGCTGGCCCTCCATAAAACTTATCTGGTTAGTGCACAACAGGTCTTGCTACTCAACAAACAGAATTTGCAGTAGGCCCTGAAATGCAAGCTAGGATGAAAATCGGGGGTGCTGGCAGGGACTGGGGCTCAGACCACCAAAGCAAAAGCACTTCATGAAGAAAGTTACCTTCAGTACTCAGGAGGCCGCTGCCCTGTCAATACTAAAAGCAGGTAATATTGGTACGAGCATCACAAATTACCGACCAGGCAAAAACAGAACTCCCTGCCTTACCTGTTCCTCAAAGGCCACCTGACAGCGCTCTCACCCTGAAGGGCAAAATGGCTATTTCAGACAATCAAGTAGCAACTTGGTCCCAACCCCACCTCCGAAGGGTTCAAGCAACCCACTGATTACTACTGATCAACAACAAACAAAGTGGTGCGTCAAGCCCTGAGGTAGATGCTCTCTGTTTCAGAAAAGACCAGGCTTTACTAAGGAGGGAGCCCACTAACCCTGCATGCCAGAAAAGAAGTCAGAAATCAAAGGTCATTAAGTTAGTCTCCACACAGCACTTACTTTTGAAGAGACACTAATGATGCAAAACTATAGGATCCTAGGATTTCACACACTCACACAGTATTTTAATGATTAGAAAATGATACTATATATCTTGGGTACTTACCAGAGGCTCTCGAGGCACCACATTTTCACTTCCTGGAGTAGAGCTTGGCTGCAAAGAAAAACAGAAACAAAAAATAAGATCACAGTGCCACCCAATGGACGTCAAAAAAACAAAGACACTCCATTCTCAAACAACACACACCAACACCTAGTCCTCTTATTTCTCACCAGCTTCTCAGACTGTAGAGTGTTCCACGGTGGGCTGCCTGTAAGAAGTGGCCCGCCTGTAAGAAGTGGCCCAGCCACGGAGTCTGAATTTGCCGGTAAACATGAAGACACTGCTTCTGGATTCACTGCCATAGCACATCAAGGAGAAGGCTAGGTTTGGCTTAGGAGGGCCCGAGATCAGCAGCTGAGCAGCAAGGGCTGGGGACCATCACAAGATCCACAGGAATAGCGAAGTCCAGAGGAAAGGTTTCATGTGAGAGCAAAATTTCCCTTTTGCCACCTTCCCACCAACTGATGGGGAAAAGCAGAGCCGAAGTGGAAAACCAGATCCAGCCACAAGGGGGCCCCAGGTGCCCACACTCTGGATTTTCTCCAGGCATCTACTTGGAACCAGGAAGCAAAGAAACTATGGACACTGGTTCCGATTTATCACCTGTCACTGAGGACAACAATCCCCAATACTAAGGAAGCTTGAATCTGTTGTGTAAATAAGGCAGTGACAGGCCGAAAGACCAACCAGCAGGCAGGGAGCATGTGGCCCACCGGCCTGGCTCCAGTCTGTCACCCTCTCCTCTCTCTGGAGCTCACATTTGCCTTCAACCCTTGGCTGATGATCTGGCCAAATTTAGAGAAAGGGAGAGACAGAGACAGACAGACTCGGAGGAAACTCACAAATCTCCAAAAGAATAGAACAAGCAGTTTGAGAGAGTTATGATTAGTTTACTGTTACTGATGTTCAAGCCAATTTCCAATTATCTACAGATAATATCCAGACAAGTGCAGCTAATCTGTGGGTCTCCGGAACCAGCCTCCAGCCTCCATACTCCTCCCAGTTTGTTCAGATAGCAAGTGCCAGGCCTCCGGGGGGGGGGGGGGGGGGGGCAAAGAAGGTGGGAGAGGAAAGAGTCCAGTCCACGGAGGGTTCCCAAAGATCTCCTCATGCCCCGTTGCCCCCGCATGGATGGCACACAGCACAGTGACAAGGACTCTGCTGGGAGAAGGACAATATCTCTTCATCTAAAGTCCCAGCACAAGGTCAGCCTAAACAAAACCAAGTGGAAAGTCTCAGGGAATCTGAGCTCGCGTTCCCTGCCTCCCTTCCCCTGCCCTGCTCGCTCCCTCCTAATGTTCCCAGCAGGCAGCACTGAGGGGCAGCAGGGATAACCCCCCACATTTAGATCTCTAGCCCAGACCCCCCTCGGAGTTCTCCATCCAGCCGCCTTCCAGCCTCCTCTGGACTCAACAAATTCCTCGGCAGATTCATAATCCCCTCCCGCGGCCACACATGCCCTCTTCCACCGTTCCCTGTCTGCAAGAACGGCACAACCTTCCACCAAAATACACAAACTGGAGTCCAAAGGACCATTCTGGACAGCTCTTTCTCTCCCACTCACCAGAGCTAACACAATTATCAAGTCCTGCCAACATTCCTTCCTAAATATCCATGGAATCAGTCCATCCACTTCTCTCTACTTCTACTGCCATCACTTGGGTCAAGGCTTCCAAAAATCTCCTCTCTGGACCACTGCCAAGAGCCTTCGCATCGGTTCACCCACATCCATGCTGGCTTTCTTCTAATTCATTTTCCACACTGCAAACAGACTATCATTTCAAAACGGTAGTAATCAGATCTCACCCTTGCCCACCCCAGTAAACTTCTACAACAACAGCTCTAATACAGAAAACCCTCTCAACATGGCCACAAGGCCTTGAGTCCACTGACTAATTCAGGTGTGTGTGACGCCACACTGCCCGGCTCTGCCCACCAGACACCCGGGCCTTTGCACATGCTATCCCTGCCCACACCTCTGACAGTTTAACTCGTCCTTCAGATTTCAGCTATGTCACTTCCTTGGGGAAGCATTTCTTCTCTGACATCCAAAACAGGGTGAACTCTCCCTAATCTATACTAACACCATCCATCTCTCTTCCAAGGACTGAGCAGAACTGCAACTTTACCTGTGTGATTATCTGACTGAGGTCTGTGTCCCTCACCAGATTATGAACTCCCCAGGGGCAGAAACTGTGTGATTCCTGCATCCCTGGGGCTTAGGACAGTATCAGGCACGGATCAGGCCTTCCACAGACATCTGCTGAATGAATGAAAGGCAACAACGAATTAAACAATGGTTCTTACTCAACTGAATGGATTATAGACTCAAGTTCATTATCTTCCTGAGGGTTTCCTTCACTCCACTTGGCAAATACGGAATGCTAACATTTATCTAGCTCTTTCTTCATTTAGTTCTACAATAAATTCTGAAATTATTGCTGATGAGAAACTGAGGCAAAGGAGGTTAAACAACGTGGCTGTGATGACTCAGCCAGTAACTGGGACTAACAGGATTTGAAACATTCTACTTAAAATCATAAGAGTTTTAGACCACATTTCATTACGCAACACTCTTAATGCTACCCCTCAAATAATAATGTGGGTTATTTGACTCAACAAAACTAACTCAAACAGCTTTAATACTTAGGAAGCCTCATTCTGCCTTAACCCAAAGTTCTCTTCTTCCTGAAATACAACTAATCAGTATGAATCATTATCACCAAGGAACCTCCCTTAAGATTAGTTCATCTCTTGAATAGCCAGTATTTGCCCGAGGGAAAATAGTACATAGTACTAAGGAAGTCTCTTTCATCATATACCCTTTTGTACCTTTTTAAACTGTAAGCCACAGAAGTGAACTCTGCTTAAAAAATAGAATATTAAAATTTTCAAAAAGAAAGCTGCTCTCTCTTTCCAACACTCCCCTCTTCCTTGGGGGACCCACCACTGATGCTGGTTCCTTATGGATTCTTCCAGGGACATTCAGAGCATTTAAGAACCCATACACGTATGTATACCTCCATCAAGGAATCTGAATAGTGACACTCTCCAAACTCCTCAAGTCTTGACTTCCAGAGCCTTCCTCAGCACACCAAAGCCAGGAGTCCAAGCCCAGCCTGAGGGCTGCTAAGAGGAGCAAGATTTCCCCACACCCTGTTTGAACTCACAGTGCTACTGAGGTCTGTCAGACTGTATCAGTGAGCTCACAGAGGACCTCTCACCAATCTGGGAATTGCCCAACACTGATTATATTCTAGATGATTCTCCAGCTCATTTTGGAAGATCTGCAGTCTAAAATGGACCATCCCCCATTTCTCATCTCAATGTTCTTTAGAAAGTGGTTTCTTGATGACTACAACAGCCTTCATCCTTACTACTCTCCACACTGATTTCCTTGATAATACCATCTGAAATTCTTCGTTCAATAACTAGTTTACTACCCCACTAGATTTTAAGCTCCCTAAAGGCAGACACTTTACCATCTTACTGAAGGCTGATCTTCGGCACTTAAAAGAGCACTGGTACCAAATAAATATGATCTTAAGCTTTTTTTAACTAAAAAAAAAAAAAATTAAAACAAAGCAATCACTTCATACACAAATACATAAAGGAAGCAAGTAGAAGACCACAGCAGGACGTGCCCATCTTGGAACATTTCATCTACAACTTAACACAAACCTGGCCTACTCCCCAGTGCAGTGTTGTGGTCCAATGGTTCTCAACCCCAGAGCAGAATCACCCCCCCACACAACACCCCCTAGAGGGGCATTTGAAACTGTCGGGGGCGGGGGGGGGTGGTTTCTGTGGTCACAATGACCAGGGGATCTCACTGGCATTTAGAAGGCAGAGGCCTGGGAGGCTCTATGTCCAGCACTGCATGCAGTGAACAACTGTTCCTTCCAAACACCAACAGGACCCCTTGGAGAATGCTGACCATTCTGCTTCCTCATGCTGAGGGGAAGCACAGACCCCCATCTTTAACATGCAGCATTAGTTGTCGCTTCAAAGGGCAAAGGTCTGAGCAGCCAACTGCTTGTCAGAAGCTCAGTCCCCCAGCCCGCGGGTCCGTCCAGCTCACCAGCCCAGCTTTTATGAAAGCCCAACACTTCTCAAACACCTGCCCCTGCATCGACCCCTTTTAAGTGGTCAAATCTATTTTCTGGCTTGAGACAAATCTCTACAAATTAAATTCCACCTTGATCCTGGAAATTTTGACAGGGCGGTCTTGACTTCAAAAATAACAATAACTTGGGCGCCTGGGTGGCTCAGTCATTAAGCGTCTGCCTTCAGCTCAGGTCATGATCCCAGAGTCCTGGGATCGAGCCCCGCATCAGGCTCCCTGCTCCGCGGGAAGCCTGCCTCTCCCCCTCCCACTCCTGCTGCTTGTGTTCCCTCTCGCTGTGTCTCTCTCTGTCAAGTAAATAAAATCTTTTAAAAAAATAAATAAAATGAAATAAAATAAAAAATAAAAAATAAAAAACAAACAGACAAAAAAAGACCACAGTGGCACAGAGAAATGTTCCCAGTTTGATAGGCACAGAGGTGCTCTCACTCCTGCTGCCAGGCGCTGACCTCCCCCAGCCAGAAGGTGTGCCCAAGTGCTGACCTTGAGGCACAGCAAAGACCAACGGCACACGCAGCTCAGGTCGGAGCACCTGGCAGAACATACCGTCCCACCCCTGCCACGGGGCTCTGTCCTACACCGGTCTGGCCTATAGTTCTTTGCAGAGAAGAAGAAGGTTCAATTCAACAATTATTTTTTGAGAGGCACTGGCACAGAGGCAAGTGCATGAACTTGGAACCTGTAACTGAGTGACTGTGGGTACACTGTTCAACCTCCCTGAACCTCAGTCTCCCCACCTGTGGGAATAATGGGAAAAATACCACCACCTCACGTCCAGGCTGAGATGAGATGATAGAAGTTCTATCCTCTCGCCCCTCTGCTCAGAATCAACCAATAGACTTCTGCTCTGTCTGTGATGGAGTAATTGGGACCAGATTTAACCTCCCACCATGAACAATTAGAAAACTAAACAAACACATGACAC